GCGGATCCACTACCCCCCACCCCCCCTCCACCACCCACCGGATCCACCGCCCCCTTTGACCCCTTCACGCGCAACTCACAAAACTTCTAGTCAACCCTTCTCCGCTTCACCATTTCCACCCACGCTAAGAGTATAATCCTCCTTTGCTGAAATTCTCGGATTTTTATTACCTTAATTTAATATTTTTTAATATGATATCCTCAACATTTCTTCTAGCTCTTCGTACACAACGATTTATCACAACTAATCCCTCGTCTATTACTCGTTATCATCAATATTTGTCGCCTGACAGCTTCACAAATTATGTAAATTACGTATAAATATATCTATGAACTCTATTAATCTATGTATATAATCAACAGTTTTCATGTATATCGATCTCATCTAGGCATTTTCATTGGACGGCATCTAAGTGTATAAATATATATGCCCATTTAGTAATATAAATTACATCTGTGCGTGTATACATAATTGGGAGTTACTCTATTTGTTATTCATCACTTTGTAATTTCTCCATTTGTAGCGTTATTATTGTCCTTCTCTCGTTCTGTCTGTCCCTCGATTAAACGAGAATACTTCCTTCACTCGTAAATATACGTTATTTGGTTTGTGAATAGGTACATTGTTTACATAGGTGTGCGCTTACATGCTAAGGCTTGCATGGTGCTTTTTGTTGGTTTATCATTGTATTAAAATTCATTAGGATCGTGTAACAATATATATGTGCTTGTGGCCGTGTAAAATGTGCTGGAAAAATACAGTGCCTCTGGTATTTTTTTATGTCAATGCAGCTGGTGCACAATTTCACCAATTAACGAGTCAAAATTAAGTGGAAATTGTAAAAATAGGGGATGTCTATCTTTCAAGTGCTTTGGAATCGGAAATGTAGTATCATTCAACAGGAATAACAGTGACATTCGGTGAATTTTGGTAACAATGAACAGTAGTAACAATAACGCTTTGTTTTTAAATCTCTCTGTTTGGTAGAAGCATAAAACGAATATCAAACAGAGGTGATCAGCCCGAGCTAAATGGCTTCTCTCTCGTATAGTGTCCGAGTTGAATCACAGGTCGAAATGTACAGTAGGTTGGATTCCGGTGTAATCAACAGGTGTCTCAAAAGTGCATAAAAAATATGTTTACACGTTTTAATAAAAATCATAGATACGTGAAAAATTGGTGCCGCTGTAATCTGTGAGTGCAACAATCACTGATCAGTTGTCACCGCTGGATGCAATTGATTTATCTTTCTCTAACGATTTGATTATTTCAATTTAATTGGGTTTTCTCTTACGTACGAATTGTGACAGATGCTGATGCACCGAGTAACGCTAGCCGGCGTCGATGATTTGATGTTGCTGTGATGAACAATCGCTGATGTACACCGTTACAAGATGTACTTGAATATTTATTCAGCCCCGGAGTTTTTGAATTTATTGGAATTCCCTTGAATGACAGAGTTTTATGTACAAACAGCGGAATGTATTCTATCCTCCTCCGTCTCCTCCTCCGCCAGCTTTGACTCACTATTCTTGATGCCGTTTTTACCCACTTTTTGACGTCACTGATCGGTTAATTCTCCGTTTTATTCACCGATTGCGGCTGTCAATGCAACTGCAGTGTTTACTGTGTAAGGTTCTAGGTTTATTTACGTATTTTTTGCTATTTTTTTGGGGGTATTTGCAGGTCATTCATTAAAAACACACGGTATTGTTAGCACTTTAATCATTCACACCTCGGTTATTTCGGTTTTTCATTTCCATCCACAATCCTCAACTGTTTTTACACCTCGTCGTCCTTCTCTCACTGTTTCTCCCACGTTAATTCACACTCACTGGGGCTCTTTCTTCGTGCATTCGCGGTATATCAACTCGCGAGTCACTCGCGATACCTCACTTTTGTCACTTCACTGTTTAATAACCCCAGGGGAAATTCCACTGTTTCCCCTCCGCTTTGACTACTTCACTTTGATTATTTCTCAGTGTCTCACGGTTTTGACATTTTCAGGGCAAATGAGTCGATCAATGTCGCTTACTTGCCGTTGAGCGATGAATTGTGATAGTCTCGTCGGTTCCCGCACGAGTTTCAATGATGCAGATTAGGCTCAGCAGGAAAATACCACCGGCTCGCGCCGATTGTCTCAACACCTTTCGTTATTATTATTTTTTTTTAAATAATCCGCTTCAGGCACTTCCGGGATAGATCGGAATGTTCGATTGTAAACTCTTTCCTCGATGAAAGAACATAAATAACGTAAAACAAAGTCAAAATGACAACATTATTAAAAAATGGCACTGTCGTGGCTCCTGTTTAATCTTATCTTCTCTTTCTCTGTTAATCTCGTACTCAGTCACTCGTTCTCGGCGATTTTTCTTTCAAATAATGTGCGATGAAGGCTCGCGTTTCAATCGGATGAATGTAAGTGGAGAAAATATAGTTCAGCCAAATGTTTCGAATCTTCTTCTTCGGCTTCTTCTTTTTCTTCTTCAATCAGTCCTTTGCTTTTGTGGCTTAGATATTGGAATTTTGGCGTTGAGAAACGAATGGTCAGCCTTTAACGTTGAGTCTGCAGCTGATGGTGCTGGAGCAGCGTCGATGTTGCTCCACCGGTATTGGGGGGATAGAGGTGGCACATTCGGTCCGCACCACCCTGGGATATAATACAGACGGGCGCGGTGGGGCGAACGGTACGAGGGTTGCTAAAGCACGGGGTGGAGATGATGGTTGGGTTAGTTTTGAGCGGAGCGAGCCGGCTGGCGCCCTCACCAGTACTAACACCCACGCTGCGCGAACGCGCGTCATCGCTCTAATGCGTTGCGCATACCCCACCGTAAACTCGACACTTGGGCTTTCTGTGTCTCAACTCCCTCCCCGCCCGCTTTCACCCCCCGCCCACCCCCGGCCTGGCACTTTGGGCTCATACAACCCTCGGCGGATCGTGTGGAGACGTTAGTTGAATTTTTTTGCTTTCATTTTTGTTATCTGTTTAAAAATTTAAGGAGAGGGAGAGAAAACGAGGGGGAATTGCTCTTGTATTGCGGGTAGTATGGGTATTTTTGATAATTAATTAGCAATATGCGCGGTTAGAAGTTTTTGTCTGAAATTTTCGGTACAATCTTCGGAAATTTTTATCGAATTTAATTAACACTGAAGTTTCAAGGAATTTCGTCATTAAAATTCAGAAATTGGGGGAAAATCAAAGAGAACTGTTAATTTCAATTCCGTTCTCCCTGAAAATGAAGAGACAACCTGAAAATTCCGGTAAATATGTTCCTGAATTTTTAGGACTGTGACACTGAATGCGATTTAGGGGGTAAAATCATGAAATTTCAGGTTTCATTGGAAATTGAATGTAATTTGGTACTGAACATTCATAATAGATTGAAAATTCATATAAATTAAGGAATTCTCGTCTTTATGCCGCTTAAAATTCAGCAATTTTACTGAATTTTCGGTGAAACTTGACATTTCATGATTTTTTTCCCTTAAATCGCATTCAGTGTCTTGAAAAAAGTCCTGTCCTGAAAATTAGTAGTCAACTGTCCATTTCGTTTTTCTAACAGTGTACACTTTTTGGAAAATTTTATCGAATTTAATTCCCACTGAAATTTCAAGGAATTTCATCATTAAAATTCAGAATTCCGGGGAAAAATCAAAAAGAACTGGAAATTTCAATTCCGTTTTTCCCTGGCACCTCCACCGCTGAGAAATTGTTAAATTTTTTGTTCATTTTCATATTCATTACTCCGTAGACATGAAAATAAATGGATTTCGCATGCAGAAGAGGGAATTGACTAGTGATGCCGCAAGACAAGACAAGAATTAAGTATTTCTTGTTTTGTCTTATAATTTTAGGTTCTTTCTCGCGTCTTGTCTTCTTCCAATTGGCAAGAGAAAATTCGTGTCTTGTCTTGTTGGACATGAGCAAGAAAAAAAAATTCTTGTCTTGTCTTGCGTTCTCTTGTGCACCTCGACAATTTTATTTTTCAATTCCGTGAGATTAATAAATTGAGTTTTCCTCGTTTGGCTCGTATGGCTCGTGATTAGTTGACAATTTGTGCATCCAGTGTTCCTTCAGAACGGTTGTTTTCAAAAGCTGGTCTCATCATCAGAAAACACCAGAGTCGATTGAGTAACAAAAATGTTGAGTACTTGCTGTGTATGAATTCATGGTTCACATCTCCACTAGCTCCAATAATGAAAGATGCGATATTCGAGAAGAAAGATTAGTATAATCGAGGAATACATAATTCTTCACGGTATCCAGGGATAGATAAAGTGTTATTTAACAAAACAGCCTTATATTATTGATGACTTGAGAGTTTTTAACGAATTTTTCGATTAATTATTTTTTCTTGTTCCACACGGAGAGAAAAATCTGAAGTTCGATTTACAATAAGAAAATAGTTGAGGCATTTTGGTGAACGATACGATTTTTTTTTGTATGCGGCGCATAACATTATAGTAACTTCACAAGCGTAATTTTTGCAAATCAAAATGCAGTTAAACTAACCAAAGTTCAAAAGTAACCATGACAAATCTATCGTAAGGAGAACTATAAAATAGTTGCAATGACAACATTCCATTGTAGTAATTACT